TCCAATAAGAAACTCCTCCAAGAGAATTTTTCAATTTTTAATTTTTAGCTTCATCCTCTATCAAGAGACTTCGAGTTCGATTTACCTTCATATCGATTCTTTTTATCATTCGTTCGAAATTCGTTACCAAATTATCCATTATCATTACCAAGCTTCCCTGGCAAGGATCAATCGCCACCCAAATTCGCCAAACAATCGTTATTCTTCTAATCTCCTCCCCTTCCATCATGCTCAAGGAACCAATTGTCCCCTAAATCCGTCTCCCCCTCCTCCCCGCCCCGAAATGTCGTCCCAGAAGAAACGTGGGGGTCCAAGTTAAGGCAATAACGAGTCTTTGGACAGCGTTAACCCGAAATTAATTGACCCCAATCGTCGTCGGTTCGCAACGCGATTTGTCCGCCGCATCTGCCGAATCGGGCGTGCGGTCGAATTAAGTTGGAGCAAAGTCTCGTTGGACGACCAGCCAGCGTGTCAGCCAGGAAGAAGAGACGGTGCAGATGGCACCGTTTTTCTGATAGTTTCCCAAGAAAAGAAATTACTTGGGTGTAAACGAATTAAACCGAGGGCGTCCCTTTTCGTGACCAAGAATTCTGGCGCTTGGATCGTGAAAGGAATCGAAAAAAATTTTGAGCAAAATCCGAGAGCACGAGTATAAAGTTATCGTAAAGTGATGAATGCGAATAATCGAGGAGAAACGTTGGAAGAAAACGAGATTTCGAGATGGAGAATAATTGTTTGAATTATTTCGAGAAACTGATATTGAATTCGTTTAAGCATTATGCCAGTTTCTTTAAGCAAGTTGTTACCACGATTATGTTACGTTTGCAACATTGATTCCGGTTGAATATTTATATTCTTATACGAAGCTTCGATTTCTATCGAAACAAGAATTATCCGATCCCACTCGACGTTTCCATCGAGCTTGACTTTCCTACCTCCCACGGGGAATGTAAAATCTCTTGCTCGCATTGATTGCACCACACAGATGTCTTTCCTCACTCGATATCTTGGATCCATGTACAAGTTGCGAAGGAAGGGGAAAAAATCCTACTTATCTTAATATCTTCTTCGATAATATTTTTTTATCCTCGCAATATTTTCCTTCTCTTCGAATAATATCTCAAAAACGAATAAACAAATGGAATTCAAAATCAAAATGGTATCCCTTTACCATTAAAATTTCAAAGAGAGTCAAACGAAAGAGAACAACAAAGAAACAAACGAAACAACGCCCCCCTCAAGAAAATGTCAAAATTAATCGAAAATTAAATTCCTCGCTCCGAGAAATTCCGATAGAAATTCAAACAAAACCTTCGCAGATCCATTGTTTCCTCCACGGGGATTCGATCGCGTAGTTCCTTAATTTCTTGGCACGCGAAATTGCGCCAACCGTGGAGGAGGAAGAAGTCGAGGACACTCTCGAACGAGGGGTGGGAGGGAGAGACGGTTCGCGGATAAGGTCGAAAAGGTAATCAAACTCTCTCGAGAACGTGGCTATTAATTACCAGCCGCCGCTTACGCGCCACGAATTCCAAAACTCCTCGTTCGTGGTCCCTCCCCTGCACCCCTTCTCCTCCCCCTGGTATCGTCTGAAACTCGACGCGGGGGTGTCGCGACGACGACGCCCTGACCCATCGTCCTCGTCGTCCTCGTCCTCCTCTTTCTCGCGAGCTTTGACTTTATAATCGTCTCACCACCCTCCTCTCCCCTCTCCTCGCGGAATGAAATTCCGCCTGACAACCGAAACCGTCTGAATAAACATGAACGCAGAGCTTCGGTGTCGTGACGATCGCGACGACAGCTTCCCGCGTAATTAGCGCGAAAGACGCAATTTAGTCTAGGCAACCGCGTCGAAGATGCTCGGCGAAGAGGGTGGCTTTCGACGCTTTATCGTCGTGGAGAGGGTGGTGACGTTTCGTCGAAGCAAGGATCCACGTGACTTTCGCTCGAATTGGGTCAAGAGCATGGACACGAATTGGGTTGGATTAAGTGGATTTGATTTTGTATTATAAGTTTTGTTAAGTCGTGTACCGTTGAAAAGTGTTTGGTGTCTGTTTGTGTAAGTTGATGGATTTTTTTGATTCGATCTTATTGTTCGTTTTTCTTCGTAAGGCTTCGTCGAAGAAGATTTATTTTTTTATTATATTCATACGGGGGGAAATTGGATTTCTTGAAAAGGCGATCGCGTGAAAGAGATACGTGGGCGTTAAATTTGAGCCAGATCTCGGTTGCTTTATGAGAGATAAGATTGATTAAAATGAAGGTTGGTACTTTATGTACTTTGTGCGAAGGTTGATTCAATTGAAGTGGAAACGATTCATACGTGTATTAAGATAGTTTATTTTAAAGAGGAAATATAATTTATTCGTGTTTGTCGAGTTAATTTGAATAGAATATTTATACGTTTCCCAGCCGTTGTCTTGGGAATTAGACAAAGAACGAATTATCTAAGCGATCGAAGTGTCTCTTTAATCGTTTCGAATCGCGTATCTCCCCAAAGTAGGTCGAGATTCTTTTCAAAAGAGAAGACACTTGCCTTTGTTGACAATATCCTTTGATTTTCCCCTGTATCTTTGTGATACAGTTTTCAAGCGTTCGCAAACGTTCCTTTCATTCTTTGATTCACCTACCGTAAATTAGATTGCATCCCTTTTAGATGATATTCTATGGGAAAAAAAAAAAAAACATAAAAAAAAACAAAAAACGATCGAAAAATATTTCACCGTGCCGCTTAAATCCACGAGTTGAAGCGAACGATATCTTTGCAAATATTCTCAGCGCAATATCTTTGCAAACTTGAATCACAACCCTTGTCGTTATTTTCTAAATATTATTACCTCTAAAAAATCCATTTTCATCTTTTTCGACCCTACCTTCGTTTCAATCCAAATCAAACCAAAAATCAATACCATTGACCCTTCCTCCCTTCCCTTCCCAGATTGTTCATCGCGATAAATTCGAAGATAGACAAGGTGTTTAACAGGCGAGGGCGCGATCGCAGAGGGCGGATCGGTGTATCGCGGCGTCGTGAATCGGGATCGAGTTAACCATCCCCCCATCTTGCCCCGGCCCCCTTGTAACATTCGAGTCGAGTGGCGCGGTAAGCGCCTTACAGGATGTACAACTTGACGCATGGAGGGTGCAAGAAACCTCGTCGCCATTGTTTTCGGCTTATAACCCGCCCCTGCACGCACCCGTCCTCACCGTCTTTCTCTCTTTCATTCACGGGTCTCTCGCCTGCTCGGGGAGTCTTGATTCCAACACAATGAACAAGCTTCAATGGCTCGTCTCTGCCTCTGTCGAGATCCGTCCCCTGTTCCCTTCGCTCTTATTTTCTTCTCTCTTTCCCTCCCCTTCCCTCCTCCTTTCTTTTTCCCTCCTTCTCTCCCTCGTTCGGCGTTCTCGCGGGCAGATTTTTCGAATTTCGAGGCGAGGAGCGTAAAAGCCGAGGCTCGTTAGAACGGTCCAGTTGCCCGCGCGATTAACCGGAAACCAATGAGCCCTCTCGAAGATGGAGGAAGGGAGGGGGGCTGGGGGCGGTTGTCTGCGGTTAACAGCGGATCGTCTGTTTTCCTCGCCGAGAAAAGTGATTACTAGGCTCTATGCTCGACCGCCGGCGAGCTGGAAAAGCGACGCTCGATTTTCTTCAGCGGGGGATAATTAATTGGATATATGTAGGACTCCTCCTTGGATCTTTGCCTCCTGTTCTCTCTCCTGTTTTGTGACCGTTGATCGTCTATTAATCTCAAGCCTCTGTCCCAGTTCTTGCCCGTATTTCGCCGTGAAATGGATTAAATCACGTAAGTGGAAATAGGAGATGTGTCTGAGATTACAGACAGTGCGCGTGAAATTTCTGTATATTTTATCCCTCAGATATGATACTTGTCCACGTCTTTCTTCGTGTAAGAAGTGTATGAGAAACGTATTTTTAATTTCCTTCCCCCAAGATTTTAATTATAAATTGATGGAGTTATCTTTAATTATCTTTAATTTATTTCGACCTACGCTGATAAATCTTATTTCCAATTATTCGAAATCGAACGTGCGTCGGATGACTCTTGATTAATGGGACGAATCGACGTTGAAAATTGTTTCCATTTGGATCATTTGTTTCGGCGCCACTATCTTCCTAATTGGATCGCTTTGAAAGGTTGTTGTACGCGCAATTGCGAGCCAATTTGCGCGAAAGAGAAGAAAGAAAGTTGGAGAAAGAAGATGGAGTCGCGTAATCATCGATAACGCTTAATCTCCTTATGAAATCGCGCTTTAATTGGAATCTCCTCTCGGAAGAGGGGAGGATTAACGAAGGTTAATCGATTCGTTTTATCCTTTGCGAGTGCGAAATGCGATAATGGTATCAATATTCATTCGGGACGAGACAAAGGACGCCCCCGGTTAAATAAATTACTTACTTGAATGGTATCTGACAAATCTGAGCATCGAGATCTGGGCACACTCGTGTTTCATGGTGAAATAAGTTGAAATACGGAATACGATACCCGGAAATAGGCATGGATACTGGACGATCTTTTTTTGCTACGATGTTCCAACTTCCTTTGTGCGCGAAATCTTTTACGATCGGGGAAACTGTCCATTGTTTGGAGCCGTCGAGTTTACGGTTTCAGAGTGAATAGATCGGACGCTTTTACGTTGTCTTCTTGTCGAAAGCTTGCCAATCGAAGGTGTGGTATAGGTGTCATTGAAAATTATTCTGAAATGAAACGGAGATTTAACTTGATTTCATTTATATGTGACGGAGTCTATATTCTTCCATTTTTGACTTTGATCTTTAAACTATGGAGTTTAGAGGAAAATTTCAATATTCTTGGAATTTATTTATTTCCATAAAGTCCATTGTTGTGTCTTTTTTTGAGAAAAGACTCGAAGGCCTGGTTTAGAATTTTATTAAGAGGTTGAATAAATAACGTGAAAAAATTGACACAAGGATCGATGATTATTTTGCACAAAGTCGTATGATTCGAAGAAGATTTAGAAGACAATGGTAATAATTAAAATTCGTTCGTTTGTAAAAGAGGCTCGTGTGCTCTGACGAATCCTGGAAAGGGATCAGATCTTTGAAAAGGATTAAGACAGTTGGTCGACTCCTGTAGATATTTCGTGTAACAACGAAGAAAACTTATATAAACCCATTTAAATTCTCCCAAAAATTGTTCCAAATTTTATTTCAAAACAATAGAATGGAATAGAATAAAAATATTACTATTACTTACTCCTGTAGAGATTTCGTGTAACGAAGAAAACTTACTTATATAAACCCATTTAAATTCTTCTAAAAATTGTTCCAAATTTTATTTCAAAACAATAGGATGAATTAAAATAAAAATATTACTAAACTTGAACGTAATCATCGTATAAAATCAATCCTCCGATGATCCGTAATCCCTGCTTACGTTAGAGGAATTCTGATTTTAAAATTGCACTATCAAATTTTTCGCTAAAAAATCTTTCTCGAAGAGGATCGATCGATAAGAGACGGTGTACGTATATACACACACGTACGTGTACGTATACACGCAACGGGGCTCATTTCGCGGAATTGCTTAAACGCGCGTGTAATTGAATCTCGGCTCGGCCGAGATTGGACTTGCCGCATGAATTCGCAACACGGCCGGCCAGCATTTTCGACTTATTAACGGCACGAGAAAAGGCATCGAAATTATGCGAAGCCCTTTCCTGTTATCGATGACGGCGAACCCATCGCCGCGACATCGATCGCCCGCTTAATTATTCGTCCCAAGATTTTCGCGGCCGAGGAATTACCGTAATAACCCCCTCGTAATGATACCAGATCGTCGTGCGCGTCGGCCCATCTTTTGTGTCGTTAACCTCGTTCCATCACGCGAAAGCGGAGGGGGAGAAGGAAGCGCGGCAAAAGCGAGGTTGGTTAATAAATTGGGATTATTTTTAACCGCTTGTGTTAACGCTTCGAGGATCGAAGGAGGAACGAGAAGGATCTATATTTTTTTTTTCCCCCCCTCTCCCCTCTCAGCTCGAGGTCGAGGTTGAGAGTCGTACGAAGGTTGTGCTTCGAAGGAGGTCAACGAGTATTGGGATTTCTTTGACGAATCGATGAGATTCGTTTGAAAAGTAATTACAAGACTGACAATCATTTTCGAAGTTTTACGATTTTCCGACGAGTTCTTACGAGTAGAAACAAAGGAAAAAATTGGAATATTGATTGTGCGGCGTACATAATACACGATGATGGTGATTCAAAGAAACTGGTAGTTACGTAAGAAGTGAAAGCCACTCGATTAATTAAATTATCGAAATGTCAAGATAAAAAAGAATTTTTTCTTTTTTCTTCTTTTTCTTCATCGAGTCAAGTATTCCAAGAATCGAAAAGAATTCCCTTGGAATAATAATTCTAATACTCTGCTAGAAAAACAGAGAGAGAGAAAGAAAAGGATTTCATAATTTTTACCCGATATATCGTTAAAATTATCAACCAAGAGAAGCAAGCTTCATCGAAATCAGCAAAATCCTCCATAGAAAGATAACCATAAATCTTTCCACAAATGCAATCGCTCGGATCCCCATCACGCGGGGGGGATTAACAACCCTCGCCTAATACAATAATCCCCCCGCCGAAAAACGAAGTAAGAAAAAATCGTCGCCGAGCAAATTAAATTAGAAGCTCCTTCGAGCCGTCTTCCCCCCTGCCGAGTAAACACATTCCTGGCCAACTAATTACGATTAATCGTCTCTCCTCTGCAGGGGAGGGGGAGGTGCGCAAAGCCGTTTCACCACCCTGACGGCCGGCGAATATATATCTGAAAATTAATCGCGTGTGACGTGGAGCCGATCTTTGAATACCTTTGAACACAGGAGGAGGAGGAGATCGTGTGGAAGGAGGAGAGTCAAACGTGATTCGGGATACACGTGGCGGATGGAGGAAGTGGAGACGAAGAAGGTTGGGGTTGGGTAAGAAGGAAACGGCGGGAGAAGACTGGAAAGTTAGTCGATCGGTCCACGAGCGGCTCGTTGCCGTTAAATGGCAACGCGGAGGGCATTATCGCGGTCTCACGTTCCTCGTGAAGGTAGCTTGTCGAAAACGGTTCGAGGTAACTTTTGTTGCTCGCTTTTTATCCTTTAAAGCCTTTAGTCGGCCGGAAGTATCGGATTACGGGCCTCGTGTGCCCGCGCACCAGGTTTCTCAGCCCTCCAACCCTTTATATATGTGTCTATACGTATGAAAAATGGGTTTAAATCCCTGTTCTCTCAACCGAATTTCTTCCCTTTTTTTTTTT